TGAGGTAAAGGGACTCCTAAGAGTTTTGAGGTAAAGGGACTCCTAAGGAGTCCTAGTAAGTAAGAGGCAACTCCATGACCTCAACTCAACTTCTTGCCTAGGCATCCTTGGGGTCTTTGAACATTTTTCCACATAAGTTACTGAGCGTGGCATGTTTTTATCACAGACCACACTACTAAGAAGGCTGCTCCAAGCCTATCAACATGCCAGGGAGAGTTCTGGAACTCATTCCAGTTATTTTCAACTGTTACTATAAGAGATTGCCTCCACAGCAGACGGTTGTGACAGAAAGAGGTCCGAATTGTTCATGGGAAGCTGAGTGGAACTTGGTATCCTGTCAGCTGACAGGACAGAGTGTTTCAGGAAGACGACCCTACAGGGCCTACTCTTACGTCCTTCCCGCCTTTGAGCTCTGGAATCTCCTGGGCAGAGAGAGACTAAGCAACGCCACCATCCCTGGGAATCAGTCCCACTGTTGTCCCCTGAAAGCAGCAGCCCTCTCCCACAGCGGAGACTTTCTATCCATTTCTTCTAATATCAAAAATTTGGGGAATCTCTGTTTATGTCTTTTTTGTTGCTTAAAAAAAAAATACAGTAATAAGACACTCCTCTTAGAAAAAGCATCGCTCTTAGAGACAGAAACCAACACCTAGGCGTGAACGGAAATGGACAGCAAGGAGAAGCACCAAGAAGGAGAAAGAGGCAAAGAGAAGTGAGCAGAAAGCCAAGAAAGGACACTACCTTGCAGGGAGAGAGCAAGCAGCCAGCTCGTGGCTAGGGGGCAGGAGAAGTCAGGTCCAAAGGAGCCTGCCACACTGAGGATTAAAAACAAGCTGGGCTTCAGAGAGGTGTGAGAAAGCTGGACTTTTGAGGAAACTTCCTGGAGTCAGACAGAAGCTGGGAAGCGGGGGAACAGAGCAGGTATGGAAGGAAATCCCCTAAGGCATTTTCTCACAGTGTTACTGGTCATTTTGCCTTCATGATTTCCTCTTCTCTCTGATACCCTGAGATTATCTGCAATCTTCTATGATCATTCTTGTCCCACAAGTGCCAACAGTGACTATAAAACTGAGATTCCACACATTTTCCTTCTCAGATTAGAACAAGTTCTGCTCCGGACTTGACAAGAGGAAGGCTTTACTTCATTTTGAATGCAAGTGCCACACCTCCAAGGCCAAGCTCCTTCCATCCAATTGGACGTATACAAGTCCTTCAGAGAATGCTCCTTTCTCACCCAAAGGTTCTTAGGATTAAGGGCCAAGGCCTCTGTGTTGGCTTGACTCTGGTTGATCCTCCATATCTGCCATCCCTCCCTTATTTTGCTGTCTAAAACACAGGACCTCTCTCTCTGGCCTGAATCTTCTGCTCTTCATCCTTTGAATGGCTAGACCTAATTTATCTGTCACTTTCTTTCCTTAACATATCAGTGAGTTGTTCTGTCTTTTCGAGACTAAGGTTACCACTAGCTAAATTTGGCTCATCAGAATGACTAGAAAACATCTTGGGATTTAGAAATAAAAGCCAGGGACTAGAGATGGCTCAGTGGTTAAGATCACTTGCTATTCTTGCAGACAACCTGAGTTTGGTGCCCAGTAACCACATCAGACAGCTCACAACTGCCTATAACTTTAGCTCCAGGGAGATCTGACACTTTTGGGGACTCACATGGGTACCCACACATATATACATATGCAGACTCATGCGCACATACACATAAATAAAAATAAACCTTTTTTAAAAAGTCCCAGAGGGTAGAAAGCCACCAAGGATTAAATAAAAATTGTTCTGGAAAGTTACACTTTTTTAAACAGTGAAGATTTCTGTAATGGTTTCCCTGTCAGACAAAAATCTTCATAAGATATTTTATGTATTCATAAAATAAGTAAAGTTGCAATTCCAAAATGAAGGCAAAGAGAAAAAAAAAAGAAATGGTCTAAACTTTTTGTGGTCCCCTCCTTTTACTGCCCAATTGCCCCCTTTAAACCGTATTTTTGAGTCCTTACCAAGGAGCTCACCACCTCTCCCCCACCCAATGACACCACGAAGTCTCCTCCTCTCAGAGGTCAGTGTGTGTCCACACCAGTTCCCCTGGCAGACAATGCCTAAACAAGAAAACCACTGCAAATTCAAGGGAACAATTCTGATTGCATTCCCTCTTCTAGTTCTTACCGCCCATGCTAGTGTGAAGGGGTATTAGTCAACCAAGGGAGCTGAGACCCTGCTCAAGCTAAAGGTGTGCCACTAACTCCCCCATCTTCCAAATCACAGATTTACGGGGTGGGGGGGGGCGGGGGTCAGGGTTTGGCCTGAGTGTCCTCAGAAGGGCACTTTTTCAAATCTTGGTCTCAGCTGTCAAACTGTAGGCATTACTCTAAATAGTTACCTATTTTTGTCTGGGAAAACACTGGGGAAAAGTGTTAAGGCAGCCATGTTCCACCCTCATTACCCTCTGTGTATAGTCTCCTTGGCCCTTTTCCTAGCCAGCCCCCAGCCCTATGTATAGTCTCCTTGGTCCTTTTCCTAGCCAGCCCCAGCCCTATGTATAGTCTCCTTGGTCCTTTTTCTAGCCAGCCCCAGCCCTATGTATAGTCTCCTTGATCCTTTTTCTAGCCAGCCTCCAGCCCTATGTATAGTCTCCTTGGCTCTTTTTCTAGCCGGCCCTCAGACCCAGCACAGACAGACCATGGCCTTGGCAATGAACAGTAGCCCTGATCTGCACGCATAGTCTCCTGGAAAGCACACAGAGGTGAAGTTGAAATGCAGCCTCCTTTAGGCTATATTTTCTATTTTTTTCTCTTCTGAAGTCATATGACCTTTACAGTTGCCTTTGCTGTCTACTTGGTGGCCCTATTTTTTACTACTAGAAAATAAGTTCCTCGAGGGCAGGATCCATGTCTGATTCATCTCTGGGTCTCCCTGCAGGAGGAGATGGGGATGAGTGAGGTCCCCAACTGTGGCACAAAATGCCAGAAAGCTGGGGAGAGCACGGGATGAAAGTCTACTGCCTTCTAAGGCCGGCCATGCCCCTGCTATCCCTAAGCTCTCCCTTCACACTCCTGAAAGACCTCTCTCTTGCAGGAGCTTCTGCCAACTGTCACCATGGGACAGAATCCCCTGGGGAGCCTTCAGCTGTTAACCGCTTAGAATGCTGCTGTCCGCAGGAGTCTATGCACTGAAGGGCAGAGATGGGACAGGGACAGGACTTTGGAAATAGTAGGAGCAGAAACCTCTGCCCTTGAAGGACATATTCTCCTGTTAAAGGATCAGGATGCGCAGAACACGGTTTTGTAGTTGTTTTGTTATTTCTTAGTGAAAGGAATCAGATTCATTTAAGCCTGGCCCTGAGGAACAGAGAGATGATTTTTCCATCCCAAATGCCCATGCTTAGGGATGCTCAGAGATGCAAAGAGCTGTGAACCATGCAACAGAAGCACAGTAAGGCAATGGGCAACAACAGCCTTGCAGCAAGGACTCTTCTCTTTCAAATCAAGTGTAGATTTCAGACCTTGACCTCGCAGGCCAGCATCTGTATTAAAAAAAAAAAAAAAAAAAAAAAAAAAAAAAAAAAAAAAAAAAAAAACCACGGTACTAAGCAAATCAGTTCCTAAGTCATGAAAAGAAGGATGCATCCCAGAGACCTCTCTTTAGGATTAGAATGCCAGTGGAAAAGATGAGCAGTTAAATTAAGAAAAATATTTTTAAAATAAAACGAAGCAACACTTACACTGCTGTATGCCCCACATACACATAAATAAAAATAAACTTTTTAAATTAAAGTAAAAGTAAGGGGCCTGAGAGATAGCTCCGTGGTCAAGAGTACTTATTCCACTTGCAGGAGGCCCAAACTGCAGGAGTTCCCAGCATACATGTTGGGCTGGGCAGCACACAGCTGTCTGTAACTTCCACTTCAGAGCACACAGCTCTCTTTTCTGGCATCCCTGGGCAGCTGCACACATGCAGTCTCCTCAGGAATACATTAAAAACAACGCCTTTAAAAATGCTTTAAGATAAAAACTTAGAGGGTTAGAGTTGTATCTTTAAAAAAAGGTCCTTACCGTACCCTAAGTGGCAGCTCCTGTCAGGATGGGAGACCATTCCTCAATGTGTTCCACGTGAGAACTGAGTTGTGAGGCTATGACCTCTGCCTAGGAGAAACTCAGTTCCCAGGAAATGATGGAGACGCCCTAATATTACAGGTCTCAGGCCTACAGCTGCTCACTCACCTTCCCCGCTTGTCTCCACCCTCTGTGTTCCACACATTTTCTGCTGGCCTCCTTCTGGTCTGTCTATTCATTGACCAGTTTCTACTGAGCACCTAGGATGCGCTCAGAGCCAGACATAGACATGGCAGAGGCACACTCCTGGAGAGACCTGGGAGCGAAGAGGTCCTGTAGTACTATCATATCACAGTAGATTACACATACAGAAAGACACGTGTGTAGGGCATTGACAGGAAGCTCCTGCTGGACTTTGAATACTTTCTCTTGTCCGCTTCTGCTGGGATTTGGTTGCTGTCATGATGGCACTGAGAGGTGAGGCTCTTCAAAGTCAACAATGCAGTTCTCGTGGGACTAGATGAGCTACCTCAAGAGAGGGTTCCACGTAGAGACAGCCTCCTATTTCACCCTACAACACGCACCCGCATGTCATCCACTTTCTGCCAAGGGTTGAAGCACAAAGTGTTTACCTGGACCATGCTTTTGGCTTTCTAAGCTTCTAGAACCCCGAACCAATTAATCCCTATTCTCTACAAGTTACCCAGTCAAGAGATGGCTCAGTGCCTCAGAGCCCTGACTGCCTTCCAAAGGACTTGGGTTCAATTCCCAGCACCTAGATGGTAGCTCACACCCATTGGAATCTCCAGTCCTAGGGAATCTGATACCCTCTTCCAGCATCCAAGGACATTGCACGCACGTAGTGTACTGGCATACGTGCGAGCAAAACACAGAGAGAAAAATATTGTTACTGGAATTGCCTAGTCTCAGGTGTTTGGTTATAGCAAACAGACTGAAACCATTCCTACTTCTTGAGGGAGGGAACTGAAGAGTTAGAGGGCCACAGGCCCAGACATATTAACAGTGTTTTACCAGGATTACCGGGGAGACAGGAATAAAAAGAAAAGGAGACCACACCAGGAGCAGAGTGATCTAGGATCCATTTTTTCCACACCATTACACAGAAAATCAAGCTCTATAGCCTTGGGGCCACAAGCAGGTGGAGGTGTGCCAGGAGAACCCTAAGATTCTCTGTTCAAGATTCCTCTCCCAGGCACATACACACCTGTATAATCAACCCCCAACTCTTGATGATGAGCAAGGAGTTTGAATATGATGCAATTCCATGGCCTATCTTGGCGTATATGTAGAAGAGATTTTGTGGATGTAATTAAGACCCCTAATCAGCCGACTTGGAGTTAATTAAGGTAAGGACTTTCCTGGGTGGTCCTGACCTAATCATGAAAACAATTTAACCGGAAGTGGCAGTCCATAGGGACAAGCAGCTCCAGGGATGGCCCAAAAGAAATGACTTGTGCAGAAGGCCCTGAACCAGAAATGGCAGGTAGCCTGTCATAGTTGGAATTAAATCTGCAGTTGTGACCAGTCGTGACCCAAACCTTGATGTCCCCCAGTGAGATCCTCAGCAGAGGCTAGCGTCTCCCTGGGCTCCTGATCTGCATCAGACAAAAAGCACCGAGGTTGTTCCAAACTGCATTTGAGGTCACTAATTGCAAAGCAATCAAGCAGCACTGTGCTCGAAGGGGTAGCCGTGCAGAGCGGAAGTGGATATAATCACTAGAGCCCTAGAGAAGCTGGACGACGAGGAACCCTCCCAGCTTCGAGACTCGTAACAACACCACAAAACAGGTGAGTGCCTACTGTGTGGCAAGTGACTGGGACCCAACTGGAATACAAATCCTGTAGAGTATCCCCATCCTTCTCAAGTGAGCCCCCCACAAATATTAAACCCAAAGTTCTTCCTAGAGGATGGGAGCAGCAGTGCCCAGGGAGCCCCAACTCCTGCCCAATAAACACCGGGGAAAATGTACAGCCCAGCGAGGCTGAGCACAGAATGGCAGATGTTCTGCTGCTACCCCAGGAAACTCAATTGCAGAACTGTTTTCTAGAACTTTCCTTGCTTCCAGTTCACAGTTCTTCAGAATATTGAGACGTTTACTCAGAGCTTGCTTTTTCTCTTCCTTCTTTCCTCCCGCCCTTCCTTCTCCTCTCTCCCACCCTCCCCCTTCCCTTTTAGAAGACTCCTGGGAGGTTTCATAGCTAGTGAATCACTTTGATGTTTGCAACTGGAACTATGCTGTTGTTTTTAACACTGGAAATCATCAGAAGTTACATGAGATGCACAAGGGAAATAGCTTTAAAAAGAAAATCTTCCATGATCTTTTTCCATGATCTTTTTACATGATCTCTAAAGGCCCTGAGTCTTCACTAGTGGGAAAAAACGAAATATTTTTAATATCAAATTTTATGAAAATTTGAAGTAGACTGAGCAATAAAAATGCTGGGCACTCACTCTATGGGAGAAGGATAGCACAATGTCACTGTCGTGTCTACACATGGACGCAAACTCAGGCCTACAGATATGAGTACAGAAGGACATATATGAGCACAGAAGCATCCAAAAAGACCGCAAAGTGTTACTGCCTCCAAGAATGAAAAATCAGCTAATCCCAAGGTGGTCAGACCGCAGCCTGAACCCTTGAAGCAAGAGCGATCTTCCCAAGAGGTAAAGAGTGAGACTCAATGGCGGGAAAAGGGCAGGAACAGATTAAAGAATGTTGGGAGAGTCTGGGCATGTTTGTGTGGCAATAAGCCAGTTGAGGAAGAAAGGGAAGAAATGTTTAGAAAGAGTCACTAATGGGGAGGCTTGAACCGCCAAGTCCAGGCCTTTCCTGTTGCAAGGAAGCTGCTGAGGGCCTGTGTGGGTGAACGAAAGCGAAAGTTCGGCGATGACTCACAGTATTTAGGATGTGTCACGGTGGAGGCCTGATGGAAGCTAGGGACAAAAGTGACCCGGAAACCAGCAACGGTAGAGGAAACGGAGGGATCTACTGATGTCATTCGAGGCTCCAAAGGTGTGGGTGGGAACCCCATGGTTTGGAACGGGAACCACTAGCCCAGGCAACCTTCTTTTCTCTTTCCTCTATATTATGGCGGACTTACACTATGATGTTCTTGCAGAACTCATAACTAACTGAGAAGTTCTGAAGTTGAACTCAGAGTCACCTCCAGAACCGAGCATTTGGACAGGGAGGAGCACACTCCAGGTAATGTGTGCTGCCAACTTAAAGATGCTCCTTGGGTACCAACTGGAAGCACAATGTGCTGCTGTGGCCCTGTGATCCATAGGATACCACATCTACTGGTCCCCAGGTTAGCTGCCAGTTCCAGTGGGTGGTCTCCATGTCTCCTTGTGGGAATAATATCTCAAAAGAGGAGCATCCTTGGATGTGGTTAGCTTCCAAAGCTAATCTTACTTCCACTCATATTTTTATATTGTTTTGGCCTTTTCTCTACAGACCCTGTGAACTGCAAACAATAACCTGATGCCGAGTACCTAGAAACTAGGGAAAGGGCAGTGGAGGCAACAAGGGTAAGGATGGACACCTACTGAGTTCCTCTGGGTAGCAGGACCTTCCCCACACACCAAAGGGATGTATGTGATTACCAGACCTAAGCAAGGTCCACTCTGTTTCCCTTGCTTTAACTTAGAAGATCGGCAGGAGGAGATAGGTAGGAGGAAAGAAACTGAAAGCAGAAGGTAAGGAACCTGGCAGGAAGTAACCCTGGATGCTTTGCACTAAAACAAGCAGATTCAATCCCAGGCCTTGGGGAACAGAGACGGGCAGGTCTCTGTCCGTTCAAAGCCAGCCTGGTCTATGCTGCTAGTTCCAAGCTAACCAGAACTTCACAGCAAGAACCTGTCTTAAAATGAAATGTAATTCCCACCCTACCCCCAGAGGAGGAAGGAGAGATGCTGCCCCTCACCGTCTCCTGAGAAAGGAGAGGGGCCTTCTGTACTCACATGGAAGTGGCTTCCAGCTCCGCTCCGAGCCACAGGCAGCAGTGGTGGTCAGTGCAGAACAAGGCAAGAGGACCCTGCTCCCCTAAAGCTATCTCTAATCCCCACGAGTCAGTCTTACACTCCCGACTCCCCGTCCTGGTCAGAGGAGCATGCTCTGGAAATGATCCCTGCCTCGCCTGGAGTCCAGGCGACAAGTCTGAGCCCATTTTGAAGCAAGGGTGAATGAGGGGATGGGGTTAGGGGCTAAAAGGGGGCAGGGAAAATGTTGGGAGCCTGGAAGATTCTAGCCATGTTGTGTTGCTACAGCTAAACAACTCTCCAAGGCTGGACAAAGTACAACAAGCAAGGCAAATGCCTGGGGAAAGTACCAGTGATGCTAGGGCTCAATTTCTTAAGATAATGTGCTGGCTAGTTTTATAGCAACTTGACACAAGCTAGAGTCATAGAAGAGGAGCAAGCCTCGATTAAGAAAATGATTCCAGGGCTGGAGAGATGGCTCAGCGGTTAAGGGCATTGCCTGCTCCTCCAAAGGTCCTGAGTTCAATTCCCGGCAACCACATGGTGGCTCACAACCACCTGTAAAGAGGTCTGGTGCCCTCTTCTGACCTGCAGGCACACACGCAGACAGAATATTGTGTACATAATCAATCAATAAATATATATAAAAAAGAAAAGGATTCCATATGACCTGGTTGTAAGGCATTTTTCTTAGTTAGTGATGGCAGGGAAGGACCCAGCTCATCGAAGGTGGTGCCATTACTGGGCTGACAGCACTAGGTTCTGTAAGAAAGCAGGCTGAGCAAGCCAGTGGGGGTGCAAGCCAGTAAGCAGCACTCCTCCATGGTCTCTATATCAGCTCCTGCCTCCAGGTTCCTGCCCTGTTTGAGTTCCTGTGCTGACGTCCTTCCAGGCTGAAAAGTGATGTGGAAATATAAGGCAAATAAACCCTTCCCTCACCCAAGTTGCTTTGGTCATGGTGCTCAGCACAGCAGTAGAAACTCTAACTAGGACAGAGACCCTTCTGAATGGTTCTGTTTTGGGAGAAAGAATGAGCACTTACTTGAATCATGCTCCAAGTGCACATGTGCACACGTGCACGCACGAACACGCACACACACGCACGCACACGCGCGCACACACACACATACACACACACACACACACACACACACATGCAGAACTTGAGCCTAGCTTTCCAGCAGGCGTTTTCCTGTCTTATGACTCTCCAGGCAGGTTGCAGGCCCGCTCCCTGACACCAATACAACCACTGTAAGATGTAGGACAATACAGGCATAAGGATGGAACACAGATTCCAAAATCTTAAAGGCTGCGGAGTGAAGAAAACAGAACCTACACTCAGGAGACTTAGACCACGGTCTGTAATCTACTGACCAATACCTTGAGAAAAACCAGGTGACCCCTGAGTGTCAGTCTCTCTGTCTATCAAGAATGGCAACACTTCCTACACAGGCCTATTGTGTTGCCCTGAGGGTGGTAAGGTAACCAAGCACAGGGCACCCTTGCTGGCACAGGGCAGTTTCCCAGCGGTCACTCAGGCTACAGTCGTATTCTTCCTACCTTCAACCTCTGTTCCAAGATCCGGTGCTCTTAAGGTTTCCTCAATGTAGAAGAGAAGAGTGAGCACAGAAAAAGCAGGGAGAAGTGTCATAAGCTAGAAACTTTCATGCCCCCCAAGTCCACCCATTGTGATGGTATTAGAAGGTGGCCAGTTTTGTAAGGAATTCAGTCATGCAGGTGGGGCCCTTCTAAATGAGATGAGTGCCCTTACAAGAAGAAGGTCCAGAGAGATTTTTAGTTGTCTCTCCATCCTCCAAAAACATAAGTAGTCTACAATCTGGAGGAGTGTCCTCACCAGAGCCCGGTCCTACTGGAGACTGACCCCAGACTCCTCATCTCCACAGCATAATAAGTAAACAACTGACGGCTAAGCCACCGGTTTACAATTATCTGCACCATCAGTCTGTCCGACTACAACAAGGATACACTCTTGTAAAGAACTCCTGGGCTCAGTGGCGCAGCTACTGCCCTCACAGAGGACCTGGGTTCATTTCCCAGCACCCACGTGGTTGGGATCACAACTGTTGCAACTTCCAGAGAAGTGGTTCTCGACCCCATTTGGAGTCACATATCAGAAATTTACATTATGACGGATAAAAGTAGCAAAAACTATAGTTGTGAAGTGGCCATGAAATGATCTTATGATTGGGGGGGTCACCACAACATGAGGAACTGTATCAAACTGTTGACGCATTAGGAGGGTTGAGAACCACTGCTTTAGGGGAGCCAATACCTCTTCTCACTTCCACAAGTTCCTCAGGCACACACATTAAATAAGCAACCTTTAAAAAAAAAAAAAAAGAAATCTCCTTAGCAAATGGCCCCCAAATCCTCTACTCCTCTCAACTTTAAATTGTTTTTATATTATTTTATGTGTGTGCTGTGGATATGTGCACATGAGTGCAGGTGCCCTTGGAGGCCAGAGATGTCAGATCCCCTGGAGCTGGAGTTACATGCAGTTGTGAACCCCTCAACATGTTTGCTGAGACCCAAACTCAAGTCTTCTTCAAGAGTAGTATGAGCTCTTAACTAATGACCCATACCTCCAACCATCTTATGGTGCTGGGTTTCCAAGCCTACTGTGCTTGCTGAGACCCTGCTTTATACCATGACGTTGGGCACCACTTTGTAATATGTGGGTCTGCTTGTAGGGGTTTCTGTCCCACCGGGTCCTCCAGCCGTTTAGTCCCAGAGAAAATCACACAGACATCTCCATAATTTAAAAACTGATTGGCCCATTAGCTCAGGTTTCTCAATAGTTCTTATCACTTACATTAACCCATTTTTCTTATCTATGTTAGCCACATGGCTCCGTACCTTTCTCAGCCAGGCAGGTCACATGCTGCTTCTTAGGTGATCAGCTCAGGAATGGGAAATGGGCTTCCTCCTTCCTAGAATTATCCTGTTCTCATCGCCCTGCCTCTATTTCCTGTCTGGTTGACCCACCTATACTTTATGCCTGACCAATCAGTGTTTATTTAAAATATGATTGACAGAATACAGACAATTCTCCCACACCACTTCCCCTCTTTTTTTTAAAAAAAAAAAAAAAAGGAAAATTATGTATAGTCCATTTTTGGGGAATGTGGGCATAGTATTCCAGGCTACTCCCTGCTGGTTGGGGTGCTGATAATCTTATGGGGACCTAAAGAAAATTTAGAATTATGATCAAGTCCTGACTGGAGTATCCTGTGAGTCTTGATCATCTCAGGCAGCAATCTTGAATCTGTTCTGGATGTAGAAGTCAGACATCTGGGCCATCTGTTCCTACTGCAGATTTCTCAGGTGGTCTTTCTTGATAAAACCCAAGTTTTCTTAACTCAGAATGAATCCACAGCCTCTCATTTCCTGTGGAAACAAAAGCAAAATCTCTTCTCCAAAGTAACATACCTTTTGACTTCAATTTTGAAATCAAGGTATTTTCAAAATACCTATCTTGGATTAATTCAGCAGCATTTATAAACAAATATCTTTTAGCAGCTGTTGCTCCTTCCTCAGCATTCGAACAATTCAAAGAGAGCATAATAGCATACAGTATCAAGATTCTCTGT